TTCAAGTGGCTAGTTGTAGTGCTGAGGGACAAATCAAAGTATGGGACGGTCTGATGGGACAAGATTGGATTGGTAATCGAGTTTCATGCGGTTTTGATTATTTAATTCAATGATTTACACATATGAGTAGTCTAACATCTTTCCTTTTTTTAGCCGATGAAATGAGCAAATACGAACATGAATATTGCGACTATCGAGATATTAAAGTTTTGGTATGCTCATGGAATATTGATGCCTCAAAACCTACGGATTTAGAACGATCTCATGATGCCGCCAAGTTCTTAAGGCTCTGGTTTACGAGTACCGAGTCTCCCGATATAATTGTCATAGGATTTCAAGAAATCATAGACTTAGAATCAAAGAAGCAAACCGCCAGTAAGTAGAGTATGATTGTTTGTCGTTTCTTTCACATTTCACTAAATATTTGGATATCAAACAGAAACCATCTTGACAAAGAAGAAGGTTGAGAAGCAAAATACTGCGAATTTGACACAACGTTACAAAGCATGGCATGATAAGCTTGTTAAGGCGGTCCGTGAGCACGCAACGGGCGGAGAACAGTATGAGGTCATTAGTTCGGATCATCTTGTCGGATTATTCACATGTATATTCGTGAAGAAATCCGAACGTAAATATATAGATCACATCGATGTTGCCATGAAGAAAACCGGATTAAAAGGGTATCATGGAAATAAGGTGCGTGTTATAATTCAAATTCCTTTAATTACTATTTATTTATCTTCTTTACTAGGTTTAATGTATCGTAATTTTCATGATTCAGGGTTCAATAGCAACTCGGTTTGTATACAAGGATTCATCAATATGTTTTGTGAATTGTCATTTAGCCGCAGGACAAGCACAAATAAAAGAGCGAAATACAGATGTTGGCAACATATTAGATAACACAGAATTTCCGTTACGCGCCGTAGATGAATCAATTTTTGTTCACGGAGGCGACGGTACAATGATATCGGATCATGAGATTTGCTTCTTAAGTGGCGACCTGAACTACCGAATTGACATGCCACGTGAAGATGTACTGAAAGCAGTCAAAAAAAAAGATTACGCATTATTATTTGAACATGATCAATTATATAGACAATTTCAGCGGAATCCCGGTTTTCGATTACGAGCATTCTCGGAGGGAAGACCGGATTTTGCACCAACCTATAAATATAATCCGGGAGAGGATCAATATGACACCTCGGAAAAGAAACGTACACCAGCCTGGTGCGATAGAATATTATATCGAGCACCAAATATCGAGCAAGAGCATTACAAAAGGTATGAGTGTAATGTATCCGATCATAAGCCAATCAGTGGTGCATTTAAGCTTTCAATTAAGACTATCTTGAAAGACAAGCGATGTGAGGTTGAAGAGGAGGTGGCGAGAGCGTGGGGGAAAAACGTTGAAAAGGAGAAATTCAAGATAAAGGAGAAATTTTTGAAAAGCTGTGGGTTCGAGCACAAGATGATCAATAAAACATTGAAAGAGACCAATGGAAATTTGAGGAAAGCCTTTGACTTATTGAAGAATAATGGAACGGATGAGAGAGTACGAAGAAAGAGAAATTGATTGGACGCACATTTTTCATAGATACGATTTTCTCTTTTTTTTTGCAGTTCTTCATTATTTATTTTATTATTATTCCTTTATCAAACTATTTCCTATAATAATTTAATTCATTTAGTGTTTTAGTGTTTTTTCTTGTATCGTAACTTTTTTTAACAATAGAACTTTATAATAGTACAAATGTCATCTGAAAGTTGTAAATAAATTCGATCAATTAAGAAAGAAATAAGGCTAAATTCCAATTTTGTCATATAAAAAAATATATATATACCAGCGTAATGATTTTCTTACGGAACATTTAGAGAACTCTTCTACAGTCCATTAGAAAACCTTTATTTATATTCGTATTACTATATTAATATTAATATTAATAACTAATGTAATAATTGATTTATATAGTGCATTTTTATTTAAATATTTATTTTGAAATAGAAAAATTCTTGAAAGTGGTTTTAAAGAAATCTTGCGTTAGCAAGTCCCTTTGCCCTATTTCATGTACTTTTTATTTTATCAACGATTTCATCTTTTATACTGTCTAAATCTTTATCAATGTCTACAACGATGATCCTCTCTTCCAGTTCTTCCTTTGGTTCTTCCAAGGTCTCCAGTTGTGACCTCAACATTCCAACCTTCATAAAATGTCCTTCTCTTTGTATTAACCTTTTCTCTAGCATTTCCTTACTTCCTTTTAAGTAAACAAACCAAACTTGGAGATTTGTTGCGCCTGCGTTGTCCAAAGGAATTTGCCTTAGGAAATTCCGATATTTTAATTTTAACGCTGAGCAAGTTACCAAAATTCTTGGTATCGCTCCCGATGATGAGGACATCGAGGTTGCTAATCTTATGATTTCTTCCTTGATCGATCGAAGCCACGGTTCCCTGTCGGAATCATCGAGTGGCACTCCCAATTCCATTTTCTCTATGCTAGATGGCGAATGTAAGTTATCGCCTTCGATGAATGGCACTTCAAGTTCATGTGAAATGAGGTTTCCGATGGAACTTTTGCCTGATCCACTGACGCCCTTTTTTTAAAAACATTAACAGGAACAAAAAAAAAATTTTTGATTAATAAGAGTTAATTTAATACCTACCATAATTATGAAGACATTAATCGGCTTATTAAGGATTGCTGACATAATTTCTGTTGTCGTTATGCGAACATGCAGGATTTGCAAAAATTTATACAGTATATTCTTATAGCTCGTGCAACAATAAATTATATAAAAAGGGTTGTTTTCCGATATAAATTGGAATAAAAAATTTTCGCCATTATGTCCGAATCCGAGGAAAACAATCAGATTTTCCAAGATGAAATGGCTTCCTCCAACATAAACACAAAACCTAAAAAAGATTGGTCGAGCGTTTGTGATGTTCGCGAAGGAACTCCGGTATTCGGGACTCGCATCCTGGATAATAAGGATAACGTATGGAATCATAATGCTTGGTGTGTAAACTCATTCATTTGATCCGCGGTTAAAACCTCGAATGTACTAATTCAGACAATTCTTGCCGTTCTATTATTCGAAAAATAGGGATAACGTACAGTGGGATGAAGAACAGGAAAAGTCGGCGCTAGAGCAAGTTCGTAGACAAGCCGTCAAGTCGATGTTACCTGAAGAGCAAGGTAATTGTCAAATCGGATTTCTCTTTTTATGAATCCACACATTGATTACTAAATCGAAAATTTCACAAATGCGTAAAAATAATAGAAAAATATCATCAACAAGCAGCCGAATACTGGAATGACTTTTATCGTCATAACGAAAACAAATTCTTCAAAGATCGCCAATGGTTGAAAATCGAATTTCCTGAACTTGTCGAAGCTACAAAGTTAGGTGCATGTACTTTTCTTTTAACCATGACAGTTCGTTGGCACATTTATCACCTTGTATATTGAGAGATTGCCCAACTTTTTTTAGATTGGCTCAAAGAAAATTTTCGAAATAGGGTGCGGCGCCGGGAATACCATGTTTCCATTATTGGCCGAGAATAAAAACCCGGAGTTATTCATTTACGCGTGTGATTTTGCCTCGAATGCTGTCGATGTCGTTATGGTAATCATCTCACAGCATCTGTAATATGAACATATGCATGCATAATTTACTTTTTTTTTTAAAAAAAAAAAGAACAATCAAAACTATGATCCCCAAAGATGTAAAGCTTTCGTTTGGGATTTGACCAGCGACAGAATACCGGAATGTATAGATCAGGGTAGTTTAGATATAGTGGTTTTGATTTTCGTCATGTCGGCCATACGTCCCCAAGATTGGAACCAAGTTATAGAAAATGTCTACAAGGTGATTTTCTCTTTTGAGTATTTTCTAAATACCCAAGGTCCCATCATCAAATAGTAATTACCACGTTATTATGCAGATGCTTAAACCCGGTGGTCTTGTTCTTTTTAGAGGTACATATCGAATGAATTTTTTACTATGCTATAAATATCATGAAGTTATAATTGACTTTATTTATTTAAAAGATTATGGCAGGTACGATATGGTACAATTAAGGTTCAAAGAAGGTCGGATGATTTCCGATAATTTTTACGCTCGTGGCGATGGTACCCGAGTATATTTTTTTACGTCAGGTAACGAATTATAATAATTTGCCCTTCTTAAGGAATCCAGTTATTAACTTCAAACGTGTAAACTTTAGAGGAAATCGAGTCTCTATGGGGCACAAAGTTTACACTTGAACAAAATGCCGTAGACAGGAGACTTATAGTGAACCGGCATAGAAAACTTCAAATGTATAGAATTTGGTTACAAGGAAAATTCAGGAAAAGGGAGAACTAAGATGTACAAAAAGTTTGACTTTAACAGATAATTGTAACTTATAAAAAATTGGTAGCGAAATTCTATTGATGTATGAAAATTGTTGATGGGAGATATATGGTATAATTGATTGATCACGGTAAATACACATAAGCTGACGCGTAGCTAACGCTGCTATCACTCTCATGAGTCACTTTACTGGATTGGGCATAATGCACAAAACGAATTCGAGGTTTACTTTTATCTCCATCATCGGCATCAGATTTGCTCGGCAATGCATCAATCGCACATAAGAGTACACCAATGGGATGTCTTCCGCAAATAGTATTCTTTGTTTTCGATAGATAAGAGGCGAATTCCTTGTGATTTATATGTTCTATGATGCTCATTCCTTCACGGTCAAGTCTTTCAATAGATTCGTGTATTGGAATGGTGAGTGATTTATTTGATTTACGAGAAAGAGGGAAAGCCTTATCCGGTGAATCCGAGTAATAAGTGTACGAGAATCGCTGTCCCCTTATTTACCATAATAAATCATCAGAATAAAGTCGCAAATAGGGAAAAATTGGAAATTTTTGCTTACCAGTGACAAAAGTCTGATGAAATGATGAATAAGTTTGACGGGTCTGCGAGATAAGGACTAAGCAAATTTCCATAAAACGCTTCACTGGACTCAGACAATGATCCGACCAAAATAGGAACGATTTTGATGGAATCAACTTTACTGTAACGTGAATTTCGTGGATAATTAGAAATCGTCAGAAAAGCAAGAATATTTATATAAAATTGCAGTTCAGCCTACTTTTCCAAGATCTTGTAAATATACGGGAGGTGCATCTCGATGCTATGCTCATCTTCATCGACGTCCAAAGTCATTTCGCCAAAATGACCGGTGGCACGTAAATCGTTGATCACTATAATTAATCAATCGTTAATAAGTTTAGGTAATATGTGAAGAGATAAAGAAAACTGATTACTACCATCTGTGTCCAAAGTAAGATCACCCAATGGTGTTTCGTATTGAGAACATTTTGAAAGTGCACATTTGGTGAGATATACATGATGAGAAGGACCAAGGATGAAAACGCGTTTCCTTAATTTAAAACAAAATTCAAATCTCAATGCATGATCGCGTGTAATGCTAATATACCGTATATTCAACAACCTACACAAAATTGGGATCAATGCATTTGTAGGCGTATGCTGCGGCTGGTCCACTATAGGAATAACCGGCATGTCTGTTGGAAAAAACCAAGGATTTAATTATAAACTTAATTAATGATGGACTACAAACAGAACGTAGGACTTACGGCGCAATAATTGCTCGAGCACCTGGGACTGGAGTGGGGAGACCTTCTTCTATATGAGGTGGCACTCTTCCTAACCATTGTTCAAGTTCCTTGTTCAATTTAGTACCTAGGAATTCGAAAAAAGTGTTTAGGAATAAGTATATTTTACAATTAAAATATGTCGCAACCACAATTCACCTTGATTACTGTACCAAGAACCGGAGTGAGTTGCGTTTCTGAGCATTTTTTTTAAGGCGAAGAATAAGGTTTTTTTTTGATTTACAAAAGCCAAAAAGAAAGTTTTATAGATGTGCTTGCATCGATCTTCACATTTATTATTCCTAAAAGTCCGACAAATTGTGGCACGATAACAAATTAAGGGAATGACCATCTCAATTGAAAGCAGAAAGATTGTTAGCTAATGCGTTTCTAGTTTTGTTTTATACTGTATATACTGTTCGATATAATTTTAGTAAAAACTATTTTTCTATAAAATTCAGTAACAATAAAATCATTTAATCTGAATTACTGATTATTAAATTATTCAACAATATATACTGTATATATTTTTTGAATTTTACAATTTGAATTAAAAAAATTATTCTAATTACGTAAACATCTTATTTTTTACTTTTTTTTTAATATATACAGTATATACCGTGATTCATTCAGTAGTTAATTTACTGTACAATTGTAATCAACTATCTTTAAAAAATATATTAAAAATTAAAAAAAAACTACTTATACTAAATATTTTTAAAATAACAATAATTAATAAATAATAATTACCAAAAGGATATAATTTTTTATCAATTACTATTAGATTTTAAAAATAAATAATACCATAAAATATAATTTGACAAATTCTGAATTTGGTGCTGCGGCTCAATTTAAGGTTAATATCCAATCTGATTATCGATTCAAAATAATCCTATTTGTTAATGAAAAAAAAAACTAGTTTTTTAATTAGATTAGGTGACAATAATGTGGCAACCTTTCATTGGTTTGCTGTGAATTTATGATAACTTCACGATTCGTCCTTGCATCCCCGAGTTATCAGTTGAAAACATGGGACGTCTCTTTAAAAACTTAATATGGCTGTGTTATGTCTTATCATTGGTCTTGTTGGTTACGGCTTCGACGGAGCAATCTCAGCAGGCCGATGGAAATGAGCTCACTATCTCCAACTTTAAATTGGCCGTGACTACCAAGGAATCCAATAAAAAGTTTTACAAGAGGTATCAATTTACATTTTCAGTTTTATTCGGCGAAAAACTGGACACTGAAAATTAATTAATTTAAATAAATCTGTACAGCGTCGACTATCCCTCGTCACTCGAAGAACCAATCCCTCTATCTCAGGGAGACGATCTTAAGATGATATTCATTATCCAAGATAAACAAACAGAAAAGGGATTTCTTCCACATCAAACTTTTGCGGTGCTGACTTCGGAGAAAACGGGAGATCAGATAACTCTAATTGTGCACGTCAGAGACAACGGAAAATCCAAGTTTGAATTGGTAAACTCTCTTTCTCTTTACAATTTATCTGCAAAACGTTCCCAGTTTTCACCAATGATAATTATTGGACATATTGAAAAAGGATATGAACTCAGCACCTAAAGAACTTACTTCACCGGGGAATTATTCTTTCGATCTTATCATCGGAACGTTTTCCCACAATCATCCAATTAAATATCACATTGGGACTATAGAAATTGATGTACCATCTTCTCCGCCCAAACCCACATCAGTCGTGTACGGTCCAAAACCAGAGATCTCACATATATTTAGACCCGATGAAAAATTACCTCCAATATGGCTATCATCCGCTTTTGTCTTGATTGTATTAACGCCTTGGATATTTTTAATTGGAGCCGTAAGTTTTTTTTATATGCGATCCGACATGTTTCCTATTCGTATATCTAATTTTATCATTTTTTTTTTAAAAAAAAGTGGATGCATCTGCGTGTGAACGTTTCATTAATCACAAAGATGCCCAGTTTTCCATTATCCTCCCTACTTTTCTTAAGCTCAATTATTGCTATTGAATTTTTATTTTACAAGTATTGGACATGTTTAAATATTTTCCAAACATTATCTTTTTTAACTGGATTGGGAATTCTGACCTTCTTCACTGGAAAAAGGGCGCTTAGTAGTGTCCAAGAATCAAGAATTCTGGGAATCCGATAATTACTTTTAATTTAATAAATGTATAAAGGAGTTTAAATCTATAGATGTACTATATGGATTATAAATAAAATTTCTCATGTCCACTCTTAATCTTAATTTCTTAATTGAAAATTAATTTTATCCCAACTTAGTAAGAGAAATGCCAGAAATATACAAATACTACCAGCTAGGACACTTGTACCTAATGGATTACCGGTCACCAGCACATCTACGACCGCAACCAGCGGAATTGTTAACATTATTCCGATAGCCGCGAAAATCGGTGAGGTGAAAGCGATGACCAACATAAAGCTCGCGTTAAACACAACACCTGCCAAAGCAATTAGGATGATATAGCTGAAAGTAAATAGATCCGGAAGTTCGAATTCTTCAACTCCAATCCAGTGCAATATCGGAATAGGTATCCACAAAAACAATAAGGTGAAAGTACCGATTAAACCAGTTATAGTGTTGGAGAATAAAATCGAAGGCCTTGGTGGACTCACGTATTTCTTATACAGAACTTCACATAGCCCGTATAAAACTGCACCTGAAAATGCTATCAAATCTCCAGAGGTAAAGATGCTGTCATAAAAAATCGCAATATCATCATCGGGTTGAGAAATCTTTTGATCATCATTAAAAAAGGACATTATGATTACCCCAGCGATGCTTAGGCAAACAGCACCAATCTTTACCATCTTCACCAATTCTCCCAAAAGAATAATTGAAAAAACATATGTCCAAAAACAGCTCGTATTGTAAATGGTAGTTAGCTTGGCCGTGGTAGTTAGGTTCACCGCAATATACCAGCTGTAACCCACTAGGCAAACGCATGATGCATAAAACGCGGAAATTTTAAGTAGGTAAGAGACAACAGGATCATGGCGCAAGTAATTAATGATAGAAGGTATATCATCAGCGTCTTCAAAGTCTATGTGGACAGGGTGGTATGAAGGCTTTACCGTGTTGAATAATTCACCACCGATACTAAGAAACTCTTGAATATATTCACGGAGGTGCGGTCTAAAAGCGAACTGAAGCGGTAGCACTATTATCCAAATACTATGCGCCACCCATCTAAGCATCCCATTTGCGCGTTAGCAGTGAGAAAATGTGTTTCCTAAACAGAAATAAAATCACCTACCTACAATATAAAATATGGCTTATGGTATTGTTTCTTCTTTTGAACATACTGCGCGAGTTCCTAAGTCGAGGGAACAGAGTATGAGGTTTTAGAGAAATATCTTACAAAGCGTGGAGCTTTCTATATCAACTTACAGTCTGTACAACAAAAGAAGAGATACAAATAAGAAGTATTCTGAGACCTATAGTGTTGTTTTTTTTACGAGCAAAAGGTTCACTTTCGCAATCCTCCCTGGAGGAATAAGATTCTCTAGTGAGAGGCACTCGCAATGGTGAAGTTTCCATTTTAGTAAAAAGGTCTCGTACAGCCAAGATCTCATCAATAAAATTTTCCGTTATTTTTATAGGCGCGTGAATGCACGTGAAGTCGCACATATACATAACCGTTATGGCTGATTCAAAGACCCTCCCCGTAATATATTCCGGCTCCCGGTAAGTTACGTCAGGCTTAGAATGACTACAAATTGCAAATACCATAACGTTTTACTGCTCTCGCATAATTTTCAAAAAACTTCTTTTCATACCACATACTAAACAAGCTTACAAATGGATAAGTTACTACCAAAATTGAAAGATATTAACAAGAGTTTTGGCCAAGTTCGCCAGGTTGGTGTTCATTTCTACTTTTCATGAACCTTCTAACGAATTTTTCCCTTTTTTCTTGATTCGTTTCTTCTTTTTCACTAGTACGCCTCGGAGAAGCTTGGCACTGCCGAAGAAATAACGGATCTTCCTCAAGAATATAAGGACCTTGAAAAGGTATTCACCATTGGGTTTTTTACCTTTGCGAAAAAAAAAATTCCTAGCTCATAAATATTTACTGTCGACAGCGTGTTGATGCCCTATACACTGTTCACACGAATTTGCTTCGAGTTACCCGTATTTATACGAATTCTTCTTATGACTACCCAGGACAATTGCAAGAATCAGTAGTCGAAATTTCACGTAGTGTTGGGGATCAACTCAAAATCTTGACTCAAAGTCCTGCGGAGCGGGCCGAGGTTGAGGCTCGAGAAGCGGAGTCTTCAACTCAACCTCAACACAAGACTCTGCCTCATGCATTGGCACGTGCCTCAGCACAAGGCTCGCAACTCCTGGGTACCCAAGACCCCCTTGGCGTAGCATTGCAAAAATATGCCACGGTCCAAGAACGCCTTGGAGATCATAGAATTAAGATGGATGCCGAAATCACTCAAAAATTTGTTCAACCTTTTAATGTCACATTGAATACCAATCTTCAGTACGCTATGAAAGCCAGGAGAAATGTTCAGTCTGCTCGTTTATCCCTTGATGCTGCGAAAGCAAGAAATAAGAATGCACGGCCTGAAAGGTCAGAGGCGGTTCGACTTGAGATTGAACAGGCCGAAGACAAATTCGTGGCAGCGGTTGAGGAAGCCACCACACTAATGAAATCTGTATTGGAAACGGTATCTTGATTCTTCCACACATTCGAAATCAATTGATTTTCCTCGTTCTATGTTATCTTAGTCCATATTACTATCGTCCTATGTACATCTAGCCCGAACCTCTCAGAAATCTTTCAGATCTGATTAATTCCCAATTGGCATTCTACAAAGAAGCATATGAATCCCTTGCCAATCTTGCACCCGAAATTGACGAAATTCAAGTAGCTCAGGAATCCGAATACAGGTAATGCAATGAAATTTTGAATAATTCCAAATTTATTATTATTATCATTATTATTATTTACTAATTTTTTCCTTTCATTAATAGAAATAGTCGAAATGATTGAATAATGGACAGGGTTTCCTTTTCACCCGTTCAACACTGTCACTGTTATCCAAACTTCCATTTCTTGTTCTAATTTCTTGTACATTTTATTTTTAATGTAGTTAATGTAGTCTTCTGAAGGAGTAATGAAT